TCCCCAGCCAGCATTTGCTGGCTGGGGAATTCTGGGAGTTGAAGTCCGGACATCTTCAAGTTGCCAAGGTTGAAAAACACTGATCTAAGGCTGGCTTTGACTGCAAATGAATAGATACCATCCTAAAACTAGTATAGGGATATGTGCTAGATTTCAACCCCTGAAATAAGGCAATGGCACTTCTTTGGATTCAATGCACAGGAAATGTATTTCATAAAGGATTTTACAGCGAATTGTGAAGTTGTCATAGAAATGAAAGAATAAAGGAATATGTTTTAATTATTCCTTATGTAAGTACAAATGGGTGACTTCGCGAGACTTTCCTGCCCCCATTTTCAGAGCCCCTTAATAAAGGAAACCATGTTTTCAACTGCTGGTTTTGTAAATGTAAATTCAAAAACTCTACTGTTGATAAATGTTATAAATCCGTGGAATCCCTCTTGCAGATGATTCCAAGTCACAGGGACCCCATTGTCCTCCAGTCGCTTTTTGTAGAGAAATCCTTCGTCCCGAAGTAGGTCATATTCACAGGTCAAAATGTACGTCTCGGGAAATTGCTTTATAATGTCATCCTCTCCGATAATTAGTGACCGCATTGTCAGCTCTTTCATATTAGTTGCTTCATACAGTTCTTTTGAAAATGGGCATGGCATTGGGGGATTATAACCTCGGGCTTTAAACTCGCTGGGGAGAAGATCTGCATTAATCAATTTCTTGAATTTCTGCCTCAGGTCTTCAGGAACATGGCCATTCCTTCCCATTTTTTCTTTGTCTACACCTTTCTGGTTAAGAAGTTTTAAAGGAATGCTTAAATACCGCTTTCTGGTAAGAAGAGGACCATGTTGGTTTTGAAAATGGGATGGTAGCATGTAGTCTATTCTCTGCAGGAAAGGATATATCAAGATCTGTGCTCGGATCTTTGGCTGGTTCCCTATTTTTACAAATTCTTGACAAAGCGCAGCAGCCAGGGCTCCACCACTGCTGTCTCCAGCAAGAAGAATGTGATTTGGATTGACTCCATAGTCTTCGGCGTGTTTCATAAAATGCAGGATTGTAGCTTTGGCATCTGTTAACTGGGCAGGATATTGGTGCTCAGGACCTAAACGATAACTGCAAGAACAATAAGACTGTTGAAATTCTCTTGGAAGGAATTAGCTTTTCTGAGAGAGTCCCTGAATAGCAATAGCAATAGCAATAGCAGTTAGACTTATCTACCGCTTCATAGGNTTGTTTTATTGATTGCATGTAATATTCTAATTTTCTGAGATGGTGGATTTGGGGTTTTCACGAGCTGTAAGCCATAATCATCATAATTATGACAAATCATAGCTTGAACTATCTTGCTTTGCATGTAATGAGTCTTATCTCATATATTAGTTTCACCTTTTAAGTTGCATTACTGGAATAAATGAACTTTTGCACGATAGTCTAATTTTTCGAGTTTCACCTGTATTTAAGGGAACATTATTAGGCCTTGCCCAAATTCACCAAGATATAGGGAATGAGGAATGAAAAGAGGAAGCTAAAAAAAAAAATCACATTTAGATAGTCAAAGGCCAAAGTGTGGCACGTCAAATTGCTAAGAGGCTAAGAAAGAACACTACTTTCAGCCTAATTAGAATTCGAGTGGACGCCATGCAGATGCTCCAAGTATTTAAGCAGAGCTAATCCGATGTACTCCATCTTTAGTTCTCTCCTACCTCAACCCCCAGACTTCGACTAGGATGTTTTGTGTTTTGCTGTGTATTTTCTGCTCTTGCCAGAGGCCTTGGGAAACCCAAGATAATGAAAATCTCTATTCAATGCTGCCTGCTGGGCATTTAACAAGGGCTCTTGTAAGAGGGCCTGGTACAAGTGCGTAGATGAATGGGGAGTGCAGGGGCCAATGCGGCATCACAGGCTGCCAAGTAGCCAACTGAAAGTAGCCTGTGACAAACAAGGAGAAGAAGACAATGACTTCTAGCGCCCGAAGGCATCGCTTCAAAAGGTGTCAACACCAATTAAATTGTAAAGGCGCTGTCAGCTTCTGAAAACTTACCCCGACAGGGACAAGACAGGACAGAATCAAAGCATGGTTTTGTGTATCTCACAGTACAGAAATGTTTTGTGATCCAGATGAGATCTGCTAAAAACCGGAGCTGTCTTTCAGTGTCTAGGAGGAAACTTAGGCTAAAATCATGAAAAAGGAAAAAAGGCAGATTTTTCTAAATGAAAACTTGGTCGAACTTTTCCTCACAATTGGAAACTTAATTGTACACGTGTCAATAGCCACATGCGGATGCTAACTTACCTAGGCGAAATAGTATTTTACTCAGGAAAATACTGACCAGTATTTAAAGCAATCAGCATCCTTGTTACATTTTTTTAAAGAACAAAACTTTTCAAACAGCCACAAAATTCCTCTGGGATCGTCTTTAATGAATGAATGCCACTGTTCTCCACCTGTTGAACGCTTACTGTTGCTGATATTTTTCTTAGGCATAAAAAGAACTATTTTCCTTTGCTTTATCGTAACTTCAGTTACAGGTTTTATTTGAGGGCTCCTTCCAGCTTCCTTGCCAATTACAGATCTCTTGTCCTCCGTTAATATATCTTCTGCTCTGCCAAAGCTCTGCACTCTTTGTAAACTCTGAATATGATGGATAGCCATCTTGTTCCATGCGAAGGTTGGCAGACTCCTGAGTTACCTTTTTCCTATGTGCCTGCAAAGAAAATTCATTTATTTATTTAGTTTCAGGTCCTGCCCAACTCTTAAACACCTCTGGACCATTCTTATTAACAAAAGCAAAATTATCTTCTCTGAAAACTATTTTATGTATTATACGCCTCCCATTCCCTTTCTGGATTTTGCAGAATAAGCTCAAGAATGAGAACTGAAAATCGATCACCTAAACGTGTAACCTAAATTGATTATTTTTGGCTTTTATTGAGTCAGGTCAGTTTCAATTTGATTTCAACTATTGTTACCAATAGTTTTATTTCATTTATGGTATAAGACAAAATTAATGCATCAGATGAGTTTTATATGCTTTGCAAATTCACCCAATAGGAATTTAAAAAAACCTTATAACCATTTGTGGGTCCCAAATATAGCATGGGAAGTAAATTTTGCATTTTTAATCTTACTTCAGATCACACTCCAAATCACATTATCAGGTTCTGAAATTGCCTGAATCAAAAGAGATTTCCCCCCATATTTTTTCTGAAGCCTAACATGTAACAATTTAAGTTTAAATAAATTCAGTTCCAGACATTTAATACATATAGGAGATTGCAACAATTTTTCATAACCTGGTTTTCTTTAGATGTTTGCGATTGTAATTTCCTCAATTTTAATAATTGGCCTGTTATATGAAGAGTGGAGTATAACAGAACAGAACAGAATGCTTCATTTGGTCAAGTGTGCAGAAGCTCTCAGCGGACAAGCATAACAACAGAGTAATACTCATCATAATAATGATACCAATAAGAGGGGATAGTAGACAAGATGAGGATATTATTGTTATTGTTGTTATTATATAAATAACAATAAAGCTCACTTCACTGAGTTTCATGCTTAATGAATGAAAGAAATAATAATAATAATACAGCCATACCAAATGGGTAAATATACTTAAAACATAAGACATGTGGGAATTAGATTTTCAGCAGAGGGATGGCACGAAGGAAAAAAACTGCCTTCATGTCTAGTTCTTTTGGCATGCAATGTCCTGTAGCAGCATCCTGAGAGGAGGAATGGAAAAAGTTTATGGCCAGAACGTGAGGAGTCTGTAGATATTTCCTCAGCCCACTTTCTCACCCATGCACCATACAGGTCCTCTATGGAAGGAAACAACTCTTGAAGTCGTTTTTTTCTGCAGTCCTAATTACCGGTATCTGTTGAAGTCTGTACCTGTTTGGTTGCTGTAGAAATCCAGATAGTTATCAAACTACAAATGACATACTCAATAATTTCTCTGTAGAACTGTATCAACAGTTCCTGGGGCAATCTGAACGTTCTGAGTTGATGCAGGAAAAGCATTCTTTGTTGTGCCTTTTTAATGATTGTTCTAATGTTATGAGTCCGTTTCAAATCCTGGGAGATTATAGAACCCAAAAACCTGAAGGACCTGTTGCTGTTACTGTGCTGTCTAACAAGAGTTGGAATAGGAGGGCTCCTCCTAAAACAGTGTTTCTCAACCTTGGCCGCTTGAAGATGTCCGGACTTCAACTCTCAGAATTCCCCAGCCAGCGAATGCTGGCTGGGGAATTCTGGGAGTTGAAGTCCGGACATCTTCAAGGGGCCAAGGTTGAGAAACACAGTCCTAAAATCTACTCTGTATGAATTGATAAACCAATGCAATCAAATAATTTCAATTGAAGAAAAGTATTTTGAAAATATTTGAAGAGCAACATTTTCTCAGAAACATTTACAACACACCTCCAAGAGAGATCAGTGTTATAAAACTTCAAAAAAAGAGCCAATAATTCTACTTTTCTCCAAATTTACATCTTTGGAGAATCTCAAATACTTAATCAAAGGAAGGTGTAGTTCTTATTCTGTTTAGAATCTTAGTATGATTATTAAGGCATATCATAATATGCATTATTAATCTATGCTTTCATCATGGCATCAGAAGTTCTACTATTTCAGAAAGATTTGTTCCATACGGTATGTACCTTTCATTCCATTTAATAGATCTTTTTAAACAGCTGCATTTAAAAGTACTTTCCCTCCCTGTTAGACCTGAGATAATATAACGAAAATTAAATCCTTCTTTTCGTTTATCCACAAATGGACATCTTCTAGAATATACCTACTCCTTCCCATCCCTAACAATCTCTTCCTGATCAACAGAAAGCATGCTATTTAATCCTGTGTTTAATATCACATTCAGTTTCTCCCTAGATGTCTAAAGAAAATGAATTTGAGATATAAACCAAACTTGTGAGCTAATGTGTGAAATGAAATAGAACTTGTGAAGTAAGCTCATGAAGTAAACCAAACTTGTGAAGGAGCATAGCTTTTTGGAATGAAGTAGCGTAGAGTCCTGAGGGGTTGAAGAGTTCAAGTGTGAATGTCTGCAGGAGAAGGCTACTCACACTAATGCTTGCATACTATGGAGTTGGTACTTTGATTTAGGCCCTATGTGGAAGCCTGGGCCTTAACAAGCAAGTCTGCTTTAATTAAAGTTAAAATAAGGGGATGGAGAAGGCAGAATGGAAGTTTCTTTATAGAATCTAGATCAGTGTTTCTCAACCTTGGCAAGTTGAAGATGTCTGGACTTCAACTCTCAGAATTCCCCAGCCAGCAAATGCTGGCTGGGGAATTCTGGAAGTTGAAGTCCAGACATCTTCAAGTTGCCAAGGTTGAGAAACACTGATCTAGATGGATTTGAGAGTGAGTGGATCTCTGTAAAGTTTGACAAAGGTATATAATATAAAGCAAAACCATAGTAACTACTGATATAGACATATTGGACATCTAAAGGTGGCAACACATGATTCAGAATGTTCCAGCTAAACTGAGAAGGACCAATCAGGAATCAGGGATATTGGCTGGAAATAGAGTTGGGTTACCACCAGTTCGACCCGGATCGGGTAGTAGTGGAGGTGGGAGACTCCGCCCACCTGCCCGGACGCTTCTGCGCATCACGGAAGCGCGCCTGAACTGGTAGTAAAAAAATTAGCAACCCTCCTCTGGTTGGAAAGCAGCCTGGACTGAGGATGTGAAAGATCTGGATGTTTTGAACCAGATTTTCGCAGGGTCTCTGGTAACTGCTTGATGGCTTGCTGTGCTGATTTGCATTTTTGTGGTATTCAACAAGACACTTAATTGAACTGATTATTCAATTAAGGATCTGCAATTTGTTAAACATCTTATT